TGAAATATCACAACTAAATATATACTCAAGGATTTCAACCTATCGATTAATTTAGGTTCGATTCCGCTAATCTAGTATTTATTTTTCTCTTGATGGTTTGACATGATTAGATAATGGTTTGATTTTATAATTATTATGGTTTGGTTCTAACAAGTGGTATCCTCGCCTCGTCACGTTGAATATTGAAAATTCATTGATCTACTTTCTATATTGATTTTTTTTTTGGTTTAATGTATATATTTTTGTATGAATAAGGGTTTATCATTCAAAGATTCAGAGTTTTTTTTTTATAAAGTTAATTGTAATCGAATATGATGTTGTATTTACGGTATAAATCTTTAATTGTGTTTTATATCCGCTGCATATACATTTTTTATTTGAAAAACATTATGGTTTTTCGATAAATATATGCTGCTTTATGAATAACATATGTTCATCAATTTAGAAGCCCTAAATTAGCTATTATATGGTTGCATGATTGTATGCGATTTCCCTATTTGTGATTACTGCTGTTGCTATACTCTTTTGAGGTTTTTGAAATTCCATTGAATATGGTATTGCTATATTGTTGCTGTAATTTAGTTTAATAATAATAAAGAAAAGGGCTAAAAGAGTTTGTTTGTGCGTGAATCTTCTTCAATTTCTTATTTGAATTGTGCCATAATTTTGGACTTTTGATTATATATACGAAAACTTATGAACGTTTACAGCTGATTCTACTATCCTTATGGATAGTATTGTACGTACACCCTTTTCTACGTTTAAAATTGAATCTACGTATATGTTTTATGAATTTAGATCTTTCTGGGACTGTATTACTCATTTCTTAATTCTGATTTTATTTGGGAAGTTGGAGCCAAGTGGGATTGGTGTCCGATAATATTTTTTGGGTTTATTAGGCCCACGCTCCTCCAACAATGAAAGTAATTTGATTTTTGATTTCTTTCATTTTAGTAATGGTTTAATTATAAATCTCTTCTTGAATTTTTAATTCGATGCAATTTAATCATGTATACATTCTAATTACTTTTAATTTTTCCTCCTTTCTTTAATATGTATAATTATTAAATGTAAATGTTAATTTTACAATCTTTTATTTTAGTCACTCATGTTTAATTATATACTTATATAATGCTATATATATATATATATATATATATATATATACACACACACCTATGTATATACTTATATATGTACTTATATATATACTTATGTATATACTTATATATAATTATCTATATATACATACATACATATATATATACTTGTGTACATACATCACATATATATACTTATATGTATACTTGCTTATGTATATATTTTATACTTATATATTATATACTTTATACTTATATATTATATACTTTATACTTATGCATATGCATTATATATATATATTATGCACATACATGCATCATACTTATATCATACATGCATCGTTGATCATACATAATTACATATATACTTATATGTGTAACATATATATATATATATATATATATATATATATACACACGTATAATATATATACACATAAGTATATACATATATATATTTATATAATTATATATACACTTATATATAATATATACTTATATATATTATACACTTATATTATAAATATAATGTATACTTATATTGTATGCATAAATATAATGTACATTATAATATACATACATATATTATATTGTCATAACATTAATATATATATATATATATATTAATTGTTTCAATTTTTTCTTCAACTTTTGAAATGAATAATTCAGTTTATTTTACAATTTTTTCACATTTTATAATTATTTCGATTTGATCTTTTTGTATTGTTTAATTTATTTAAATTTTAATGTGTAATTTCATATTTGTTCAATTTAGTCCTTAAAATTATATTTGTATATGAAATCGTCCCATACTTATTTATATTTTTGTAATTTACTTCATACCCTATAAATCACATCATTAACTTCATTTCAAATTTTATAAATTATATCATAATCTCCAAACCCTGTAAATTTTTATTCACCAACTTTTTAAATTGATGCAATTTAGTTCATTTTTATATTAATTTCAACTTCACATTTTATAATTATTTCAATTTGATCTCTCATCGATGTGTGTTGTTTAATTTATTTATTTAGTTTTTTGTTTGCAATTTCATGTTTGCTCAATTTAGTCCTTAAAATTATATTTTTATCAAAATTGATCCATAATTATTTATATTTTTAGCAATTTATTCTAGATTATATAAAATTACAATTCAACGGTCATGAAAGGAGAAAAATAATTAATCAAAAAATGACTCGACCTGAAGTTAATCCATATCTGGTAAGATCCGACCTGAATTTTGTCTGTCAATGATGTGACCCGATCTGAACGATATCCAACTGAAGTTCATCTTAACCTGAATTAACCTGATATTTAACTGCTTTGTACCTAAACCGTTTTAACCTAAACTGAAATTAACCTTACCTGAACTGAATCTGATGTCAAATCAACCTAAAAATAATATGAATTGTTTGACATGGACCCAACCTGATCTGAGTCGAACTATCAAATTGATCTGATATGACCTTATTTAATTTGACCTAACCTAACAGGATCCGAATGAAACCTGAACGATTATCTGATTTCAAAATGTTGAACCCACGACCAGTCACTTTCTTACAATAATCGAAGATGGATTAAAAACTACAAATATATTAATAACATAATCTTTTTATAAAATTGATATAAATAGAATTTTAGATAAATAGTAAACCTATCAATAAAATAAATAAATAATAAAAAATTTAACTATTAAATAGCTGATGGGCCCAACTTTGAGTTAAACTGATCAATTAATATATTGTTTTTCATATTTACATAGTCGGTGATGGATTTAAAACCATGTGTCTATTAATAATACAACTTTTTTTATAAAATTGATGTAAATAGAATTTTAGGTAAACAGTAAGACCAACACGAGTTGATTTAGTGTAACCACTTTGATATTACTTAAATAAGGTCTGAGTTTAAGTCATTATGTATGCAGAAAATTACTGTTGAGAGATTCACCCATCAAAGTCTAGTATGCGACGCGGATCAATCCAAATTAATTAATATAAAACAAGATTAGAAATTTTCGACGAAAATTAAAAATAATTAAAAAAAAACTTTAAATTTAACAAAACAAAAAGATGATGAGGTACAATAATAATCAATATTTTAGTTTTCCCAATAACACATATCACCACTCACCAAATTGTTATGACATCAGATGTTAATGAATTAACATTGAATTAACAATTCAATGATATCATTACATACAAAAATAAAATCTAATACTACAATCGAATCAATTTATAATTCAATGGTAAATTATAAATTCAATCCTAATCCTATTAAGAAGGGAGAGGACGGGAGACTATAAGAGAAAGAAAGGAGAATGAATTTAGTGGGCCTAAAACACATAAAGAGAATATATGAAACAAATATGAGGAGCTTGGTCAACTGATTAAATGTGTTTGTATAACGATAAATTTATTTGTTTTATAAAAAGTGACTAGTTTTATTAAAACCAAAAAATATCCAAAAATATGATAAAGAATTAGAAGCATAACCGTAAACATAAAATATAATTATGACTTTTTTCTATTACCATTGAGACAAAAATTACTCACCTAGATCACATAAGGGTCAAAGAAAGAAAATGTTAAAAAATTAACCAAAAAACTCGAATAAAATAAAGATACGAACAAATCTGACTACATCGGTAAACGAACCACAAAAGGCGATGAAATTACTGAAAGACCACCGGCAAATCGTAAATCAGATTCAAGCGACGTGAGAAAACTATCCACGAACGCAAAAGGTGTATCCAAATCAATCCAAGGGTCCAAACCAGGGAAGATCATCATGATAACAAATAAGCACCATCTTGATCAGTCGTGGCGATGTCAAATCCAACCCTAAAAAATGATAACAAAACAACGACAAAAACCGTAAGTTACCAAAAGGCAAAAAAAACATGTCACAAATGCGAGATAAACGTGTCATAAAGACAGAGAACATGTCACAAAGACATAATTATTCTTATTAAAAAACTAAAAAAAAAACAAAACAAAAAAAAAGATAACCGACGGGTGACAACCAGCATTAAAACCTGTGTCGTCGCCGGTTAAATAAACTAAAGAAAAATTGGATTGATCAATAAAATTGATACAAGTTGTAAAGAAAAAAAAGGAAAATATAGCACAATGATAAATTTAAAAATTATAATTAAATTATATTCGATATAATATATGGTAGAAATAGTAGTATTTAGGTTCAAAGAATAATACGTAACAGTATGGAGAGCGCAGGTAGGGGCCTCAAATCATGACATTGTTAAATTATGGACATTTTAATGGTAAATGAAAGGGAAAAAGTAAATGCAGTAAAATCCAGCAAGGAATGTACGGATCTTTCCATTTTCAAATAGTAATGATAGAAGCTTTAACACATTCATATCACTTGGTGGAATGAGAAAGCAGATTGCTTAGTCTGTGCTCCTTACAAATAAGCCTCAGTACTGTGGATTAATCTAAAGAAAACCAAATACCACTGTAACAACAACAGCACTTTCAAAATTCAGTTTATTAAGAACAACAGTCGACGGCAAAAGTCATGTCACTAATGATGCTCCTTTACATCTCAAAGACACTGGCACCAGTATCCGGAGTTATCAATCATCTCATCGGATACGGGCAGTGAGAGCGGCAAGATCCGCAGGTTGTTTGAACCAACAGCCGTTTTCGGAAAGCTAGAGTTTTTGCCATGGTTTCAGCAATCAGATTATCTGTTTTCTGCAAGTTGTTTGGACCACTACTTTATAGAGAAACAGAGTTTAAGTTATTAGTTTCATTTGGAACGGTATCTAATTTCGGGGTATCTTCTTTCATGGTAACCGGTACTTGGGGTGAAGTACACTTCTCTTGATTATCTGCCGTTGGAGTAACTTGATTAATGGTAACATTCACCATTTATGAACTGGAAATAATATTGGCTGATGTCGATGCTCCTCCGCAATACTTCCGTCGGATTTCTCGACCAATGTTTTGCTTGAAACTAGCAAGAATAAGCTGATAAAAAGACCAAATTTGAATGTCAAAAGTTACAATCAGAACATCAACATGGTGCTGCGATCACTATTTTTAAGCTAAAAAAAAACTTGACCTGCAAGTAAACTTAATAAGTTTTGTCTAATTAAGTGATAAGTCATGATCAAGTGAATGAAGAATAGCTTTGCAACCACAAACAGAAGAACTAAAGGATCCTACTTGGATGGGTCCAGGGCCAGCTGCAATTAGTGGACCTTCAACACTTCCACCAAAATGTTTTCCATGAGGATTAGTAAATGAAACACTCAAAAGACCGGTTTTGTGATGGTCCCCACTTCACCGGACACAACAGAAGAACCGGTGAGAGTAAGAATTTCAAACCTCTCCTGCAATAAGACACATATTTTAGTGTTCAGTTTCAGTCATTCTTGTTGAATGCCAGTTCAGAAAGAGCAAATTCATGCTTTGCACCATATGTATGTATGTATGTATGTATGTATGTATGTATGTATGTATGTATGTATGTATGTATCATGTATTGTAATTAGATAAGTTCATGATCAACCTCATACGTGAAAGTTCCTGCAGAAGAATCAGGGGCACAGAGGGTAACACTGGAGACAGCACCACTAGCAGTAAGAACACAAACCGAATGACAAGCCCTTGCACAAAACGATACTATCTTATCAACAAGATCCTTCATCACCAAAACAGAACTTAGAACATTTTCTTGCATGAAAGTTTACATGACAAGAATAGGATGTAATAATTGAATTTATTTTATATTGCAGTTACCTCTCCTTTGTACATAGGTAGTACATGAGGTGTAAAGCTTCTTCTTGCAGTGTCCATATATTCACCTAATCAAAGGAATTCAGGTGTGATTGTAAGACATTTGATCAATTAAAGTGCACCAATCTTCAAAGGTTTCACAACATTCCTAAACTAGAGAACTTAAATGAAGCAAAGGCTTACTCAATCTTACACACTATGCATCCACACTTTAAAAGGCACTAGATACTGAAAATAACTCACCGGTGGAAGCCAACGCCTGAAACTTGCCAGTGCCCTTAGGCCGTCCCCAAGGTCGTTTTGTCGAACAATACGCTGCCGTTGGAGGTGGCAAAGCTTCAACTGAGCCATTACTGATTGGAACACCATTGTCATATTTCCTAGGCCTTCCCCTTCCTCTCTTATTAACCATCTCTTTACTGGTTCTGCTTGCATACCGAACCGACCCTTCTCCGGACCCTAACCCGCCTGCTGCCTTCGGTCTCGTTGTTAACAGCAGAGTCATGACAAAGATTAGCTGTTTTCTCTTCCATGAACCGTTAAAAGCTGAAAAGAAAACAAACAACGATATATTTCAAAGCACAAAGACACGAAGAAAAAATATCGCATGGAAAAGAACGTAGACATGAATATTACAAAGGGTTTGATTGAAAATTCTAAATTGAAAAAGATTGCACAAGTAATTTTCTGTGTGAAGTTTGTAGTATTTTTTGTATCCTTAAAAAATATAAAGGAAAAAAAGAGACGAGGGAAAGGATGTAATAAATCTCTATACGTATTTTATATTTGGTAGATGAGGAAATAAATTTTCTTATCATATAAGTAATTTTTATCCATTTTAATGGAAAGAGTATCTTTTTTATTTATGAATAAATTAAAATATTCTAAATATTTAATAACTTTTGAGATATTTTTCCAAATATATTAATTAATTGCTGGAAATTTATTTATTAGTGGCTTTTTAGAATTTTATTTTGAATTTTAAAAATTAATTTGATATATTTATGACAACCACAAAATCGAAAACACGAGGTTGATTTTTCATATAATGCCCAAATCATATTATTAATAATTATATATTTTTAACCAACAATTAGTTGGTCTAATAAGATGATAGACACTAAATCACTTAAATAATGTCAGAAGTTCAAATTCTGACGATTTCAAATAGATCAAACTAGTAGGGGTGAGCGTTTGATTGAGTTGAGTCGAGTAAAAAATTTCAAGTTATTTTTATTTACGAGTCCTATTTTATAATTCCGACTTGATTTGAAATTTTCTCGAGTCGAGTTTATAAAATTCAAGTCTAGTCAAATTTTTTAGTTCCTATTTAAATTTAATTATAAATATTTACAATATTATGACATTATTTGATTTCAATTCAAATGATATTTTATAACCATATAATATATATATATATTCGTATTTTTTTCATAAATGATTCTCATATATCATACAAAGTTCAGGGATTCGACTCAAACTTGAAAATCAATATAATAATTACTAAAGATTTCGAGTTATTCGAGTTATTAAATACAACTCGATTTGAACTTGAAATTTTTATCGAGTCGAGTTTATGAAATTACAACTAAAACTCAATTCGAATCGAGTCAAAAAAAATTGATTTTTCGAGTCGAGTCGAATTTTGCTCACCCCTACAAACTAGGTTGGGAGGGTCGTCATTCCCTTTGCAGCATCCGATCCGAATTAGTCGATCAATAGATCAAATACCGATGGATATACAAAAAAAATTATATATTTTATGTTGAATCATGGATAAAAAAATGTATATTTGTTTAAAATCTTGAGAAAAGTAATCATGTTAAATTTCATAACATCAAAACACCCGATTACAGTTTCATTTTATGCGTTGAGATTCTTCATCATAAAATTCTATTAGTAATTTTTTTTTTCGAGTATTAAAAGCTTTCGGTATTAGCATGAAACAAAATTTCATTATGTTCTCGTCGAAACATCAATGATAACTCCGCATTAAGTGTTGAGACGCTTCAATAACGTATAACATCGAAATATCTCTTAATGATATTTCATGAAGCATCAAAGATTGCCCAGAAAGATAATGAAAACAACTTTGTATGATATATTCTGAAGTAGTAATAATACATCCACACTTTTTAAGATAACATCAATCTTTTCACTATATTATTTAAGATTTGAGAATTATTTATGTAGAATATCTAAGAGATAATTCTATCTAGATCTAAAATTTTAATACAAGTTTATAACGACATAAAGATCATATGCAATATAAGCATTGACATGCATCCTTTCACTTAACATAATTAAATGTCTCACGAGTAAAGATAATATTTAAAGTCTCGCCCAAACAACAAACATAAAAGTGTCATCAACGTCTGACGAAAAGAGTCGAGGTGTCTTCGTCACCCTTCACAACATCGAGATGTTGACTTCCTTTTATCCTCTGCACGAGATATTATCCTCCACAAGAGAAGTCATCCTTCGCGTGAGATGTATCCTCCGTGATAGAAATCATCATCCACATGAGATGTTACCTTTGAAGATGTCTTTTGGAGATATTTTCAGTAACTCATCTGCTAAACAATGACTATTCCCTTTCGTCTCCGCAAGCGTCGAGATGTTCCTACTCCTTTATCGACTTAAAAGTGCTCTCACTCATTATCTGAACTTCTCCAAAATATGTTGAATTGCCTCATGTCTAGTCAAGAGAGTCGATATATCTTCGCTCAGAAAGTATGAAATTTTCCACTGGTACTATATGTCATTGAGATGTAGACATATCCTTTACTGTCCCACTCAAGGATATTATCATCCTCTTGAGCGTGAGTATTGAGATGTCTCTGTCAACACAGATGATTCTACCTATCAATCGAGATCTTCTAAAAGGAGAAACGAGATGCCTCTATCTCAACAATAAAAGCCTTGAGATGCCTCTGCCATTAAACAAAATCGAGAGATGAGTATTATATTTTAAGGAGGGGCGAGGTCAGGTATAAACACTATATTTTTGGGTCGAGGTCGAAGACGACTAAAAAATCGACATGTCCGCCGTGTGTCCATCCCTATACAATGTGTTATCAATGGTTAAGAAAGATTATGAAAATACACTACATCATATTTATCCTATACTATTAAAAAATGTTATTTAGGTTGAACTGAATTAGATGGATTTGCATCCTAAATCTGGGGACAGATTGGGGAAGAGAGCAATTATACTATTTATCAAGATGAGACAAGATTAGATAGAGAATATCATTTTTGAGTCAATATCAGGACAGTCAAAAATTCGACTCATTTGGCATGTGCCCATTCCTAACTTCTTTTGACCCAATTTTCTTTTTTCTTTTTTAAATATTTTCTACAAAATTGTAATTAATAACTAATGTGATAAAAATTATTATAAATTGAATCCAAAATAAAAGTAAAAATGTAGTTTTTACGGCTTTTTACCTAAAAATCTCTAAACTGTTATAATATTACCGATCTAGTATCCTTTCAGATAGGGGGACCAAAGGCACAAGCCTTGTTTCTTCAAATTTTATCAATCTAGTATCCTTTTTGATAGGGGACCAAAGGCGCGTCTCCTGGTGCGCGCTTTCTAGGGGAAATGTCTAGAAGGTGCATTTTAAGGGCACGCCTTCCATAGCTATCTTGTCACATCAGATTTCCTAAATGCATATTTAAAAATATATTTTAAAAAAATTAAAAAATAAAAATATATGGACCAACAATGTAATTTAATGCATATTAGTTTCATAAATTGAAGAGTCTAATGATATTAGTTTATACAGGCATATTGTAGTGTTTAGATTATGTTTTTTGACACTATTAGATAAAAGCTAAAATGAATATTCTTTAACTTTTTTATATTATCTCTATATCTAATGAATCCGCTTATACACTAATGTTAAATTTCTTTAGGTTAATATTTATTATTAAGGTTTATTAATTAAGATTAGATATTTTTATATGTTAATATATTTAAATACTTTTTTTTAAGTATGAGTTCAAAAGATTTATGTAACACAAATTAAAAATATTTCATTGACATATAAATATAATTTAACAATAGTGTATAGGTAGATTCATTATATATAAAGATAAAAAAGTTAAGGAATATACATTTTAGATTTTATCTCATGTTACCAAGAAACATAACTTAAACACTCTAATATGCTTATATAAATTAACACCATTAAGCTCTTCAACTTATAGAACTAATATGTATTAAATTATGTTATTAGTCCCTATAGTTTTATTTTTCAAATTTTTGTAAAGTATATTTTTTTAAAATGCCTTTAGGGAATCTGATGTGGCAAGAAAACTTTGAAAGGCGCGGTCCTTGAAACGTGTTTTTCCTTGTGATGCTATGTCAACATTTTCCCTGAAAACACGCTCCATGAGACGCGTTGTATGTTCACCTAAGCAAAGGCGCGTTTCACGTAATGTGCCTTATTATCACTATGTCAGAAAGAGTGTTAAATCGATAAAATTTGGAGAAACGGTGTTTGACACGTAATATTATAATATTTGAGTATTTTTTGGGTAAAAACACCGTTTTTTATAAGGATAGTTTTGATGTATGGTAGCCTTAATATACGGTTAAGGAAAAGCCCAACATAAAATGTTAATATTTTTTTAACATTTTCGGTAAAGTGCTACCTAAAACATTTTTTCTAACCAAAAATGTTAATTTCGCTAACTAATTTCCGGTAGAACCTAATATTAACATTTTGAAAGAAAAATAATAATGTTTTAGGTAGTATTTTACTAGAAATGTTAAACATTTTAGGTAGCGTCCAATATTAACATTTTCAGTAGAAAAAATAATGTTTTAGGTAACGCTTTATCGGAAATGTTAAAAATACTAATATTTTATAGCGTTTTTCCTTAGTATATTAAAGTTGTCTACCTGATACATCCATTTTTATAGTCTTGTATCAAATTATTATAAATTGAATTCAAAATAAAAATTTAAAAAAAATGTAGTTTTTTTTATAGTCGTGTAATTTATCCGCTTTTTGAACTGACATAGAAACGGTCTGGTGGGTCCTGTATTGAGAAAACAAGTATGAGACAACTCATTGAGTGAGTTTGGCAAACAAAAAACAGTAGCCTGAGAGACACGAACTCTCGCGAGTGAAACCCATGTACTTAGCAGGCACACGCCTTAACCACTCGGCCAAAGCGACTCTTCAATTGTGATTGAATCCCATTATAGTAATATAAATACAAAACACTCATGCACTCTAATTGTCATTGATGTCTCCAACCACCGTTTAAAATCACGATCAAAATTTAAGTCGTTGAATCTCTTTATTTCAGTCTACCAATATGGGGTCCTACAACTCAAGATCAACGATGTGATTGTCCCTGCTGTGATTGTTCTTGAATTCAAGTGTAAAACTCTAGTTACAGAGTATCACCACTGAGAAACACGATGAAAATGTTTTTATTTTTCATCATCTACTTTTTTTTAAAATACTTTAGGATGATTATAAAATA